ACCCTTAACCCTAAATCCTATAGGGTGAAGGGTGGGGATGTAGGCATGGCTTGCGGTGGTTTGGGGTATATACGGATGTATAAGGATTACATTGGCTATATGTAGATGTTACATAGGGATGATATGGTAGTTTCCCAAAAGAAGGGGACCCCAATATAGACCCCAACATACTATAATCCTTAGTATTGGGACCCCTAACAAGGTACCCCTCATTTTGGGAAACCCCCATATATGGAGTTTAGGGATGATTATGGATGTTGCCCCAGTGCTGGGGACATTCAATGGACAGAAACCTGAAAAATGCAGTGGAAACTTGGAGTATATAGAGGTTGATGGGGTTTAGGGTTTCATCTGAAGCTTATACTTTCATGGGGTTTATAGGTTTTCTGGTGGCTTATGTTCGGTTGCCCCTTTCTTGAAAACTACCATATATGGCGATGTACTGGATTGTTCAGAAGGGTATACAGGGATATAGAAGCCTATGTGGAGGCACCCTACTTATGACAACTCCCAAATCAGCAGACAGGCCTACTCAGGCTTGAAGGTAGCACGCTCTGTGTCTTCACCTTGGTTCATCTATGGCCCTCCCTTTAGGAGGTTCTGCGGCCTTCAACCCCAAACCCTAAATCTCTAAACCCTAAACCCTAGGAAGTTCTACGCTTAAAGTGAAACGGAAAGGCAACTCAGGGTCGTTGGATGGGAGTTCTGCGCACCATCTGGGCCGAGGTCATTCCATTTCAATTTCTATGTTCTGTCACATTTGATGCTCAATTTTAGGGTAGAAGCTCACGTAAAACCGTTCATGAACCCTATATAGCCCAGTATAGTCCCTATATTTTCCTATGGGTGTTGTTTGCGATCATATCCGCAAGATAGCCCAGAGCTGGCTATGTACCATTGGGTTGTCAGATCCAGGCCTGCAGGGATACAGTCTCCCTTCAATAAGGCTTTATAGGTTCAGGGTTTAGGGTTTAGGGGTTGTCGGTTCAGGGCGAAGGGGTTAGGGGTTGTGGGTTGAGGGCGTAGGGGTGTAGGGGTTTAGGGTGTGGGGGTTGAGGCTTCGCAGGCTGGATGCAAAAGGGTGTGGGGGTTCAGGGTCTGGGGGTTAGGGTTAAGTCTTAGGGTTCAGGGTTCAGGAGCGCGCCATCTGGTCCCCCTTCAGTGGATAGAATATGAGGTATCTGGGGGTCTTATTATGACTCTGGTGAATTGCGGTTCTATCTACTTCAGGGGGGCTACCTATATATATATATATATATATGGGGAATCTTCTGCGGGTCCTCTGTTTCCATAGCTTGTCTATTTCAGAAGTGAAGATTTTCCTTACACCAGCTATCATACATTGTCATATGACTGTAAGAAGGTCCCAGTAGTAGGGATTGCGCAACATAATTTTCCTTAATATACATTGAGACCTTGGGCATGCATTGCGCGCTTTGTGCCTGAGCTTGCGCGCTGGAGGGAAGCCGGCTGGGAAAGCCAAGCAGCTGCAGAGCATCTTCTCATGGAAGAGTACTTGTTACTCATACTTGGTTGGGAATGAACAGATGGACTCCTACTAGTATACTAGCCCTTTCCCCTATGTTCAAGTAAGCATTAGGAAGAAGCATCGAGGAGCAAGCTCAACGGGAACCATAGGGGTCTCATGACACAACCAAGACCATGGCATACTCTCAGTAGTCCTTCCGTATTTTGCACACGAGATATATGTTGAGTGGGATGTGGAAGTAGGAACATCAAGAAAAAGGGGTGGCAAGTGGTGGTTCCTGATGTATTCGGCAGTCTCGCTCTGCTGCGTGTTTTTGAAGTAGTTGGGCAGCCCCAAACCCTAGGCCCTAGACCCTAAACGTGGAGAGGTTGCAGTTGTCTCCATCCTTGTTTGGAGCCCCTTCCTCCTTTCGGCGAGATTTACATGCTTTTGGATGACACGTACTGTGCAGTCTTACGACGCAGATCAGACCTGACGTCCAAGAGTAAGTGGGTCCAGGAGTTTCTCATCATTATCATATTTACAGGTTTGGGGGTGTATAGCACGTCCAGACGTGCAACGTGCGAGTTCCACTTCTAAGGACAGCATATGTGAATACACATGTTCGCGATGGCTCCAATCCACAGTCTGTCCGTGTTTAAGGCTCGAGATGCGACTCCGTTGATGTATTTGGGCTCTCCCAAAGCAAGAAGGGTACTTTGGTTACAACGCCCCAGGTAGGAATCCTGTTCCTCATTATAAGGTTGCTGTTGCCAAATAATCCCCTCCTCATATCAAAGCCCCGTCATTTTTCTGAATATTGAATATTCCCAACATATTCTAACATAACACAGCGAGAAATATTAGGGTGGTGAAGTTTTAAATATGAGGGGGAGGTGATTAAGAGGCAGGCGCGCACCCAGGTACGTGCGGCGGCTGGAGCGCGGGCAGCCACGGATTCTGGCGCGCACCAGCTTCTATGCCAGTAGCCCCTTCGGAGCAATGTCAGGGCAAGCCAGGCCAATGCATATTAGGGAAAAATGGAGGATTAGTTGGAAAGAAAACGAAACATGACATGGAAACTGGGATTTGGAAGGGGTATTAGGAGTTGCGGCTAGGGGAATACACAAGTTCAAGGAAACCTCCAGGCGGGTAGTTATCAGGTGGGTACACTTCCAGGAGGCCCATATAGACCTCATATAGCCCCATTACCCATATGCGAGCCTTATATGAGCCTTACATGGGGAGCCTGGTTACGACCCACCTGGGGTTGTCCTTGACAAGTCATAACAAAGTAATATCCGATAGTTTCTCTGAACTACCATCTTGGACCGCACCGATCTACTTACTCAAACTGGCGTAGGATTTACAGCTACGCCTTAAACCCTGAACCCAAAGCCTGACCCTGAAACTTAAGACCTAAACTCCAACTAAGCTTCCCGCGACTTCCCAGGTGATGCGCTGTTGGGAGTTGCGCGGGAGCTGTCCGGACCGCTATTTGCTTCCTGGCCGGATCAGAGGTGGAAAGCTTCATCAGACTAGCACCAGGCAGCAGCTGCTGCTGCTGCTTCTACTACTACCACTACCGCTACCGCTACCGCTACCGCTACAGCTGCTGCTGCTACTACTACTACTACTACTATGACTACTACTACTACTACTACTACTACTATTACTATTACTATTACTATTACTATTACTACTACTACTACCACCTACTACTACTACTACTACTACTACTATTACTATTACTATTACTACTACTACTACTACTACTATTACTACTACTACTACTACTACTACACTATTTAGGGTTCAGAGTTTAAATTGTAGAGGTAGTAGGGCATGAACAGGTGGATTGAGAAAGTGGAAGCTACTACTACCCTACTTGGGGTTCAGGGTTTGGGGTTTACAGTTTAAGGAGCGGATGAACGGGCAACAAATGGAAACTACCACGTCAATTACGCAGGCATGAAACAAGAACGGTAACTATTGTAGTATGTAGGGTTTAGGGTTTCGGGCGAGTAGTGAATGAAGGCTTGGACAAGGAAATGGGAAACTACTACGTCATGTAGTTCATGGCGAGTGTGCTGGCATTGAAGCCTGAGTATTCTGTTGCTGGCATGCATTAAATCATGCGTGCGTTGGACTCTGTCCGGCGCTGAGCAAGTTCAACTGTAAAAAAGGGGGGGGGGCTGGTAGGGACTGCAGGAACGAAACAGAGCGCGGAATGTTTTACTGGTTTTAACCTGAACCCACGGCATTGACCGCCTAAAACGCAAAACTCCTCGAAGCCTTTTACGCCTCAGACGCGACCTAGCTTCAAAGGCTTCAGCGGCGCGACCCCAAGCCCCAAACCCTAGATACCCCTCTATTATGTGGATTTCAGGTCTTGGACTCGCAGGGGGAGGCCATGAACAGTGATGATTTCGCCCAGCTGCTACTGGACACGCTGCGCGAGACGACTCGGGCGCGACGGATTCAGGGGATCAAGCTGTATTTCCAATTACCTACACTTCTTTTTTTGGGTTGTAGTCACTGTTTAGGGGTAGAAATTGCTAAGCTGAAGGTGGGGGTTTTCAGGCTGTTTCTTTAGGTGCCTGGGTTTGCCTTGCCGCATATCCCCAGGCACCTCAGACATACGACATGCGCCTGTATAAAGGCGAGGTGGGATGATTGAAGTTTTGAGGCCAGGCCGTTTCAGTGTTGAACAGGTAACATACGGTAAGACTCTTAAATGTTTTTGGGCTCTTGAAGTTTGTGTTTTCCAGGGCCGAGATCCCACGGTTGTCAACGCCCAAAGGGACGTAAATCCCAAGGACTTCAATCTTGTCTGGGTTGCCGTTAAGGAACTTAAATCAAGTTACTATATTGGGGAAACCCTATTATTTACTATATATATACCCATTATGGTAGCCCTAAACCCTAAACCCTATAGAACCCCATTATAGTCGTTTCCATTTTCTTTTCCATTATCCCTATATATACCCATTATGGTAACTTAGTTTAAGTTCCTTAACAGCAACCCAGTTGTTTCACAGGCTCGTACTCGCCGGACCCAAACGCCGTAAAGCTCTTCGAAGCTGAAAACCCAACTCGGAGGTTCATGAAAAATCCCCTTTCCCTAATGTTAAAGCTCCCCGCCCCCCTAAGATTAGATATTCCCATTTGTGGTATATGATTATATACTGGGATTGTTTAATATTGTGGGGGGTTGGGGAGTTTTATCTTTGAGGAGGGGGTGGCAAAGCTATAACTCTACAGTAACATCCAGCTCGCCATGATTGTTGCCAAGCCCTAAGCGTTGCAGATCTTCCTCCAATGCGCTGATGACATTCCCCCTACATCATCCCGATAGCGCCTAACACCCAACCCCTACAGTCCCTTGAACCCCCAGCCCCATTAGCATGTGTACCCTGGTACCCAAACCCCATATACCCCATAATTAATCCTCAGGGCAGTACATGAACCTCCGAAACCTGAAGCGGGCGCACGCAGGCGTCCTTCGTCATCGGAGGGGCCGAGGGCCTGCCTGAGCCGCTGCGGCCTGGGAACGAATCCGAATTGGGCCGTGTAGCCAGGCCACAGGGCTCAGAAGATCTCAAAAAGGATTTATAGGGCCCTTGTTTTGTATAGGGTTTTGCACGGGGTACTTTGGGGTTTCTAGAGGGATTACAGTTTTTTCCATTTGTTTTGCTGTAACGGATACACAGGGTCAGGGGTTATGTGGTGTGTGTCTCTGTGTGTGTGTGTGTGTGTATGTGTGTGTTTTTTCTCGTGGATCTTGGCCAGTGTATGGAGTTCCGGCAGAATTTGGTGAGTGCACATACGTCCAGTCCTCGATTAAGGGGCCATAAATAAACTAGATTGATAAACTCCATGGGTGGTATGCCCTGGAATGTAAGGGGGTTCGTCATCATCAGTTCTTCTCCCCGCCCCACTGAAAGCCTACCCCCTCAGCCTTAAGTGGGAGCTGCAAGCGTTTGCCAACGGCTGGGAGTTTGCAATAGGATTCCAATCAGCAAAAGAAAAGGGACCTATACGTCGTTTTGTGGGTTTGCTGCAAGCTACGACACATGATCACCTTCCTGTATAATATACCTGTATCCGAATCCCCGACGAGTCATCCTCCTGGATGATTCATTTGCCGACTATGTAATCATAAGAACACAGATGATGATAACAGTAATAGTAGTATAGTACTAAGAATGATGATTTCAGTAGCAGTCACAATAATAAGAACAAAATCAGTAACAGCAATCATGCTAACAATAATAAGACCAGTAATGCTAGTAGCAATAATCACAAAAACAGGAACCCAAGCCTGGGATCCTGAGCCCCTAGTTTTATTAGGGTTATATTGGGGTTTTATTGGGGTTATCAGGGTTTTATTAGGGTTCTAGTAGGGTTATATTGGGGTTGTATTGGGGCTATTTTAGGGTTATATGAGACTTCGAGCTTGGTGCTGGGAGGCACCTGTCCCTAAACCCCTAAACCCTAAACCCCTAAACCCTAAACCCCTAAACCCCTAAGTCCCTAAACCCCTAAACCCTAAACCCTAAATGAGGCACCTGTCCCTTAGCCAGATGACCTTTCCACATCGACTGGCTCGGGTACTGCTCCTGGAGCAGGCCAGTGATGACTAGCAGTCTGGTTGCTGTTGAGGGTTAATGGAAAAGAAAATGGAAACACTATAGTATATTTGGGTTATATTGGGATTATATAGGGATAATGGAAAAGAAAATGGAAACTACTGTTTAGGGTTTAGGGTTTAGGGTTGAGGGTTGAAGGTTGAGGGCTTAGGGTCCAGGGCTGCAAGGTTACCCCCCGAGTGGTATATCCTTTTAAAATCCTAGAGTCCTCAATCCAAAGTCAGCTTCTATCATCCTGTTGGTTATGCTGTTTTATCAGCGGGAGATCCTATTACTCAGTTCAACCACCGACATGCTACCCATCTGGGAGCTGAATCTAGGCTTGAGTCGTGCCTTGCCTTGGTGCTTTTTGGGGCAAAGGGCCGAAAAGCAACGAGCTGTCGAAGTGAGGTGAACTTTTTGGTGGCGGTGGCGGTAGCGTAAAACCCAGCTCCAGAGTCCAAAGCTCAAGCCTTCCTAATCCCAAGACCTCCGTACATGTTCCCTCAGCCTGTACAGCCCCAACTCCCAGTAGGGTTTAGCGTTTAGCCCCAACTCCCATTAGCCATTCACCCACACAAACCCTCAACTTCCTCCCCCCTGAAAAGATCTTCCGGGCACGCGAGCTTGTTGCAGACTCGGGCTACCACCGCAGCCAGGGTTGCATTCTAGTGGTAAAGCTTGGAGTTTGGAGTTTAGGGCTTGGGATCGAGGGATGTAGGGTTTGGAGGTCAGAAAGGGAGGGTCTTGAGTTCATGGTTCAGGGTGTTTATGGTTTAGGGTTTAGGGTTTAGGATTCAGGGTGGGTTAGGTCTGTGGTACAGGAATTGGGGTAGTTTCCCAAAGAAGGCCTCACTTTTGGACCTCAAAACGTTAGGTTCCAAGAACAGCCCAGAAGTTGATAGTGGAAGTTTCTTGGTACGCCCTCGTGGCTTGATTGTTCTTGGTTGGTCATATGAGCTAATGTCTAAACTCCTGGTATCCCCCTTTATAACCCCTATAGTAGTCCCATATATAATCCCCTATTTAAACCACCCTTAAGGAGTTTACATTATAGCTCATATCTAGAATCTAGAGCTATGGACTGGGCAACCAGAACGCAGATCCAGGTCTTGGGGTTTGGGAGGGAGGCTTAAACTATCAAGAGTCTAGTATCTAGTATATAACCCCAATCTAACCCTAATATAACCCCAAGTCTTGTTTCTGAAAAAGCAAAGAAGTTTGGGAAATGGGATGATGCCGCCTTGTGGTCTCAGTTCTCCTGCGAGGCTGCTTCCCCGAAAGTTTTGAAACCCTCCCGATCCGATAGCGGTATCCCGTCATATCACGCACCGTTTGGTAATGGATCAAAATTGCACCCTGGGGCTTCAGGGCGCAGATTAAGGACTTGATTTGCGATCTTATGGGTACAGCCACTCGGTCAGGATTCGCTGATGCCAGAGTCGAGCCCAGGGTTTGCTTGCTTTTGTTCTGCCATGACCCCACCCATCGTGAAGGAATCGGCGGACGCTGAGCATCGAAAAGTAAGGCTCATGATCAGGCTTCACGGGGAGCTCTCCCTGAACTTGTCCGGAAGCATGGAGTCTTGGAGCGAGAAACCTCGAGATCAGGACTGAAAATGCAGTTGCTACTTTTTAATGTAGATTCCTAGCAAAAGGGGTCTTAAAGTGGCATAAGTGGGAATTTGTGGACAAGCCGCTGCCAAGAGACGCTAAGGCTGAGCAGAGCTGCGTCTTCACCTCCACCTCGGTGCAGCCGAGGTTGGGATATCTGAGGGCGTATGGTATTGGGGATAGGCTTTTGGGGTTTGGGATTTAGGGTTTAGGGTTTTGGGGTTTAGGTTTAGGGTTTTGGGGTTTAGGGTTTAGGGTTCCAAAGATTGTGGGTCCCTTTTCGCTGTGGCTGCGAAGGGCTGTAGGGTTTTGGGGGTCCGTCTATTTAAGGATGGGAATATATTCGGGATTATACGAGCTATAGTCTAAACTCTTAGTATCCTGCTTAGTAGCCTCTTTAATACTCACCTGTTTAACTCACCTTTGAAGGAGTTTTGACTATAGCTCATATTGGGTCCCCGTATTTATGGAATCTTCAAATAGCTTCTGAGGTTGGCAAGAATGAGCAGCTTTCTATTATGGTTAATACTATTACTGATTTCTTCTTCTTACTCTTATAGTAACTTACAACTGCATTTAGCGCTGTTATCATTATTGTTACCATGACAGCTATTGCTAGTATTACTATTATTATTACATTAAGTTTCAAGCAGACCTATGACGCTGTGAACCATCTGTGACTTGTTCACGGTAAGCTCTGTAGCAGAAGCATTTTTACGGACCATCATTGGGAATCTTGTCTTGTTTTGGGGATGGGGTCTTGTGAGTAGGAGGAGGCGGTTAAACAAAAAGCTTGTGTGGACTCCTTTTAAACCTTAAACCCAACTCCTGGTTGTAAAGACACCCTAAATCCTAAAACTTTTTGAGCAGGACTCTGCAGCTAGGATCTGGTGATTTCGGGGTATAGAGGGAGATCCCACCACAACTGGAATCCACAATTCCTGTCTGTATCAGTACCGCATAGACCAACGCATGCCCTAACCTTCTAAATTCCAAATCCTGAGCCTCAACACCCAAACTTAAGCGCCGACGTAGGTGCACGCTGTTTTCAAAGACATGGCAGCTGTGACGCCCCAAGCTTGGCCCTAACACCTAAAGACCATAAACCTTTAACGCGAAGCCCGAAACTTGAAACCCTAAACCTTAAATTTGAAGCTCTAAACCGCACACTCTTATGGTGATGAGATCATACCTCAAACCTTCCACAATCCTTGTATAGCCCCGTAGACCTATCTCATTCCTATAGAACCCTTATGCATCCCTACATGTTACCTAGTACCTGAAAGTCCCAAAGGCCCTAGATCCTAAACCCCAAGCCCCAAACCCCCAAACATCCCAAACCCCTAAACCCCTACACCCTGAGACCCCAGACTCCTAAGCCTTTCATTGTAACCCTAAACCCTAATCCTCGAAAATCCTAACTCTCCTAGCTCCAGGCAAGGCGGGTGCGCTTTGAGGAGCCGCTTCCAATGCCTTGGGTACTCCCCCACCCAGTAGCAGTGTGTGTGTGGTTTAGGGTCTACGGTTTGGGTTTAGGGTTTACGGTTTGCTGTGGTGTTTTGTGGAACATGCGAAGGACGAGCTGAAAAGGTGATGTCGAGTAGATCGCGGCTTGCCAGGTGCTTCCATGGCCTGACTCTGGAAGGCCATCTAACACATTCCCCACTCCAGGCCGTATGAGGCGGCCAAGCCACCCAAACCTATTCCTTCTAGGGTTTAGGACCTAAACTCAGTTGGGTCGTCTGGGTCAGCAACACAATTTGTATCTTTTTGTCTTGAAAGGAGGCCTTTGGGGAGAGCTGAACAGGGCCCCTGGACCGGGGGCGGTCTGACCCGCCACAAGGCCCTGGAAAAACCAGGCAGCCCCATCCAGAGTTTCGACCTGGGGTTTAGGGCAATTACTTTATGAGGAAGGCAACCAGTACTGGTTGCGAAGGGAACTCCTTCCGGTACCGTGCCTCACACGGGTGCTACCGCCCTCGTGGCTGTGCTGAGGCGAGGCTAGGTAGAGACCTTTCGTCACAGAGGGCGAGGGGCGGAGGCGCCGCTCAGCATGGTAGGTGGGCGGCTTAAGCCTTGAGTTTAGGGTGTTAAACAGTACCAGTCCATAATACGTAGGTCTAGCGGGTGGGGTTAAGGGATTCGGGTTTAGGGCTTTTAAGGTTTAAGGCCTAGACGCACTATACAAGCATAATACATGTATTCACAAATCGTGCTTGGGTGGAGGCAGTACCTTACCAGTGCTACCGGCTTTGCTAAGTTCGGCTGCCTTGGACGGAATTGGGAGTTGCCTTAGGTTTTGCCATTCAGGGCAAGGATGTGGGATTTTCCTAAAAGCAGGGGATTGTAGTGTTTGGGCTCTATATTTGGGGTTCCCTGATTTGCGAAACTACCATCGGTAGATATTCCTTGGATTTGGCCTCGGGTTGAGGCCTTTTGAGGCTTTTGGGACCAACATTTTTGCATCGGATCGTTGGTGACTCCTTTCCTCATATATTGAAGATGGATGAGGGAAGGGTGCTTAATCTTGACAGGACATACCTGGCTAGAACCCCAAGTCCTAAACCCCAGACCCTGCAAGCTTTGAAACCTTTCGCAGGAGGAAGAGCTGCCCCTTGATGCCATCCTCGGATCTTCAGCACCCAAATGCCAGTCCCCAGGACTTCGGAGTCTTCTCGAAGTAGAGTCGTCCTGAATGGACCAAGGATCTAGGATTTGCTGCCTAGGATTTTGGGTTCGGAAAATGCCGGCAAAAAGGGATCAAGCAGGCAGGCAAATACAGGGATGCTCCTGTAGGCTTTTCATCTACAGGTAGCCAGAACTGAGCGATGTGCCGAATCCATTCCTACTATCTTCCTACAAAGCCTCGCTGATTGAGCTAAAACACAAGGTAACCCATATCATGATGCTTTAGTGCCTACTACTAAGATAGTTGGGTCATGAGTTTCCTCACTCCCCGCCTCAATGGTCTAAGTGGGCGACACCCTTTTATTGGAAGGTTGTCCAAACAGAGGTGAAGTAGCAGAAATGGGAACCCAGAAAGGCACCACAATTTTAACAACAGCCTTGTCACTTCATGGATCCACATTCTAGGTTCGCGCTGGGCAGTCGAGCAGCATGTCTTGGGTCTCGCAAGATATCCCGCACCTCAAGCACCAAAGGCACTCCCAAAACACCTAATCCTTAAACCCTAAACCACAAGCACACCCCAACCTGCCATCCAAGCACCCTATACCCTCTCCTCGTAAAACCGTAGCCCCGGCCCCAAGTCCTAGATCTTTAGCCCGACAACAGCCTCGCGCCCTCAAGCCCTGGAAAGGGATTCCCCTGTCTTCCCTCCCTCGATGCACGACATCAAGCGACTCCCCTTCTGAAACGGGCCAATAGTCTTCGAGTTTAGGGAAGGGTCTCGGAGAGCGTACATTAGATGGCTTGAGGGTCGAGGAGGTTGCAGCTGAGAATCAAATGGAAAAGAAATTGGTAGATTAAATGCACACTGGGATTATAGTGCGATGCAGGCACCTGGGAGCAGAGGCGACGCTGCCTTCGCCTTCTTTCAACGTTGTGGGCTGCGCGCTCCAAACTCATTCCAGATACTGGGTTGCTGTTAAGGACCTTAGATTAAGTTACCATAATGGGTATATATGATAGATAATATGGTTTCCCTGATAGATAAACTTAAAGCCATTTCCTTAACAGCAACCCAGGATAGTGGCAGGCCCAGCAGGCTGCAACAAAGTGGAGCAACGGACGTCGTCGACAAAAAGATTCTGCCTGGGTATGCAGATTTGGGAGTTTCCCGAAATTAGGGGTACCATTTTGGGGGCCCCACTAATACGGACTATAATGTTTTGGGGTCTATATCGGGGTCCCCCTATTTTGGGAAACTAACATTTATCAGAGTCTCAGAGCGTTCCCCGCATTACTTTTGGCAGAGGCTGTTGCCAACTGCCCCACATGCCTTGCAGAATTCGAGGTCCTGCAAGCAGGCTGTTGGTGTGTGTTTCCTGGTCTCTGCCGCAGCCATATTAGGCTTTTAAAGTAGCAGGGAATTCTCATTGTCAGCATGCCGTAGAACAGCTGCCTCCCATGGTCGAGCTTACGTAACAAGAGAGCAATCGCATGCGTTCTGCTTATGATCCTTATTATATAACCCTACATCTAGCAGTTTCCATTTCATTTTCCATTTTCTTTTCCATTTGATTCTCCATTATTGGGGTAATATCCCTATATACCCCTTTAAAGGGAACTAGGGTTTCCATTTCATTTTCCATTTCATTTTCCATTTGATTCTCCATTATTGGGGTAACCCCCTCTGCTAATTCTTGTTTACGCCAGCCATCCTAGGGCCCGCTTCGTAGGGATCCGCCGCCGGCAATGGCCGTGCAGAAGAAGGAGAAAAATCCGTTCCTTCCCGAGCAAGGATGGAGTTGGATAAACAACACAGAGAAAGAGAGTTTCAAAGTCTGCTGCTATTGCTGCCAGAGTAGGTCCTGCATATACGGAACTGCAGGGCCTCTTGCCCAATACTATGCGACTGGCAAATGGCTACTTCTCAAAATTCTTGTCTCCGCATATACCCGAAAATGGCGGGACCTTGTGAAGCCTACGCAGCAAGCCTTGAACCCTGTCCCTGTATACCTTAATGCATACCAGCCTTACCCGAGCATAAATGGAGGGGTCTCCAAACTAAGCTAGCTGACTTTGCGTTCCTTGACATCCTATCCATTTCTTCAACCCTAAACCCTAAACGCCATGGACCCGCCGCAATCCAAAACCCTTCAAATCACCATGTATCCCGAAGCCCTAAACCCTAAACCCTAAACCTATTCCTATATCCCGAAGGACAATCCTGCTGGGTCTGGTTCGCGCCCAAGTCTGGGAATGACGATCAGCCTTCGGGTGCCTTGGGGGTGGCATCAGAGCAGATTCGTGGGGCTCTTTTTTTTTTTTTGGGGGTGGGGGGGGCTTGAGTGTTTTAGAGCTTGGGGTTTTTAGGGCTTGGGAATTTGGGGGCTTGGGGCTAGGGCCTAGGGATCAGGGATTACTGGTTAGGGTTCGGGTTCACAGTGTTGAGGGGTTGATTAGGGTTCAGGATTAGGGTTCAGGGTTTGGGGATCAGGGTTGCGGTGCTGGGGTTCGGGGTTTGGGGGGTGTGGGGGGGGTTTACGGTCGGGGATCGGGGTTGGTTGAGGAATTGCGTTTGAGGGATCAGAGTTGAGGGATTAGGGATTAGGGATCAGGGTCCAGGGTTTTACAGTTTTGGGTTGAGGATGCAATAAAGTGGCAGGTGTGGGGTCAGTATTTCAGCACAAGTTTTGCCATTCATCACTTGCCTAACCTATTCTCAAACTAGTTTTGAGGAGCCGTACATCCTGTAGCTAATCACAGCGAAGGGCTGCCAACCCGCGTACGGATTCTTGATTCGTGAACTGGCTTTATTACTCTAAACCTCACAGCCTAAATCCTACACCGTGCACCCTAAGCCCTCACTGACCTGATCCGCGGTCTTCGCGCGAAGTGAAGCCCATCCAAAACCCTCTCCCCACTCTGTGAGCTATAGTCTAAACTCCTAGTATTCCCCGTAAGAAGCCCTTGGATAATACCCTATATAATCCCCTAGATAGCCCCTTTAAGGAGTTTAGACTATCTCAGATAAGGCCATCACGTTGGGAAGATTTGTTGTTAAGAGGCTGGCCGTGATGGTTTGAGACTAGGGGGATTGGAATGGTAGATGCCTGGTACGTGGTGGAATGTGTAAATGGGAGATATCTACATACACTAATTTATAGCAATAACACGTACAATAAAAGTAACAATAATGGATACCACTGATTCTCGCCGGCTTGAAACCATCTCTTTCATGCCAGAGAGATCAATCCTTTCAACCTGAGTTTTGCTAGGGACACGGGATGCAGCTGCTTTGCCGCATAACGCGGCAGCACATGAAGCCAGACAGCAGAAACTTGGTCATGATTAGGGTTTGGGGTTTAGGATTTAGGGTTTAGGGTGTTTCAAAATTGGAAAACTGTTGCCAGGCTACTAGCTCATTAGCAAGCATGCGGGAGTTGCTCAAAAATATAGGAAACCCCAAACCCTGTATATCCTCATATACCCCTGTATAATCCCAAAATGCTTCAATAGCCTTCAGGGTCTTGGAAGCACTAAGGAAAGGCCTCTGGGGGAAGAAGGCCTACCGCCTGGGCCAGGCGAAAAGGGAAAAAGGGTGCTATTGGAGCACCCTGAACCTTCATCCCTAAACCCTAATCCTTAATCCCTAAAACCCCAAAACCCCCATACCCCAAAAACCAACCCCTCTCAATCCTAAGTCTTCAACCCTAGACCATAAACCCTAATCCCTAAGCCAAACAATAAACCCTAAACCCTGAACAACAAACCCCAAGCCCTAAACCCTAAACAACAAACCCTTAAAGGCGACTTTCGTCTCTGATAGCATGGATGGCACGGCCCTGGTCCGGGAGCGTGGGGCCAAGGGAACAGGAAGCATCAAAGTAAGGGCTGGCTTGATTCTTGACCTGGTTTAGGGTTTAGAGCTTTTTTTTTTTAAAGGGTTTAGGGTTTTGATGGGTTTAGGGTTTAGGGTTTTTTAGGGTTTAGAGTTTGGGGTTTAGGGTTTGGGGTTGAGGGCTCGGGGTTACATAGGGGTTATATTGGGAACATGGAAAAAGACAATGGAGACTACTATAATGGGGTTATATAGAGTTTGGGGTTTATAGGGGTTATATGATATATAGGGGTTATATTGGGGTTCTATTGGGATAATGGAAAATAAAGTAGAAACTACTGTTTAGGGTTTACGGTTTAGCGTTGACCATTGTTGATTTTTTTGCTGGTCTTTTTCACTCATTCTTTCTTTCTTTCCTGCTTTCTTTCTTTCTTTCTCTCTCTCTCTCTCTCTCTTTTTCTTGTTGTCCCCTCCGCGAACAAACCCTCAGCTCCCAAAAATGGAATATCCCCTTCATATATTGGTACTGTAAACTTCTAAACCCCAAACCCTAAAGCCTAAACCCTCCCATGAATGAATGGTCCCTAGGATCCTCGACTGGTACGAGGGCCTATTGGTCCTGGATGCATTGCTGCGGGATGTCACAAAGGAAAAGGAAACCTGCGCCTGGGTTACTGGGCTGCAGTGAGGGAATAAGAGAGAATGGAAAATCAAATTGAAAAATGAAATGGACCCTACTGGGGTGGGCTCATCTACGTAGGGTGTTAAGGAATTTAGATTTGGTTGCCATAAAAGGGAAACCCAATTCTGCTGTTACATATGCATAGTGTGGTAACTTACTCTGACTTCCTTAACATCCACCCAGGTTGCTGAGCTGCGCGACGTGATCCTTAAGGAGAAGTCGCAAAGGAATATCAGCGCCAGCCTTTACGTGAGCAAGAAGTTGCTGGGTTCCTGTTAAGGAATTAAGTTACCATAATGTGTATATATAGTAAATAATAAGGTCTTTTTTAGGGTAGTAACTTATTTCAAGTTCCTTAACAGCAACCCAGGTTGTTGAATGCTGCTGTCACGGGGCCAAGCTTTGTCACGCGGGAGGCTGGGGTGCAGAGCACTTTTGGCAACTGATGCGGGTAAGCTTGGCACATGATCGTTGGACTTGAAAAACTGTAGATGTAGACAAGATATGGGGCAGACAATACAATGAATTGTGACCGAGACGCTCGGTACGTCTGTGGAGGCTTGTCACAGTCCGGATACTATAAGAGTGTAAGAGGCTGCAGTCCGCGGCTCCTTCACCACGAGTATCTACGGTCATAAAAGCTTCACCGTGTTCCAGGAATCCAAGCTTGTAGGGTTCAGGCCAATTTTACACAGCAGCCAATGATTAAGTCGTACTTAAAACCTTTCTAACCCTAAACCCTAAACCCTAAACCCTAAACCCTTTCAACTACCTGAAACCATGGCCTAAGGACCCTCACAGTTTGGGTTTGGAGTCCAAGCCCCACCATCGCAGTTCACGTTGTGCTTACATTTCCCTCATACCCCAGATCCTGAACCGCAAGTGATGCGGTATTTCAAGAACCCACAAAACTCCCATCAAATTCCACCACCCCTGACATCAAATGCTCCCCATCAGATAGCTCGTTACATCTTGAAGTTCTTACAGATGAGCGTTGGGGGGGGGGGTTGATCTTAGTATAAAGGGATAATCTGTCCTAAACATCCTTGAGCCCTAAACCGATGAACCCTAAACCCCAAACCCTAATACTAAGTATGCAGGGGCTATTAGAAGCTGACAGAGCCAGCAGCCTGGGTGTGCAGGGGCGCGTGGTGGCTCACCGCAGAACGCCACTCCGAGAAGAGCCTGCGCTCCACTTGGAGGGTTAGGGGCATGTTAAGCATTTTTATAGTAAGATACAATCAGAAGGATGTCGTAATGTAAGTGTTTAGTATAAATATTGGAATGTAACGACAGGAAAAGGGGATATCCAGCGGAACTCCAGCGAGTTGTGGTAGGGGTTTGGGCGTCGCGTCGGCCTGTTGCATCAGGAGGATGGCCGTCTTGAGATCGAGGCAAGTATTTGCAATCGAAGTCGGTTGTGCCTGCAAACCTAGGTGATTCAGCCCCTACATTATGCCATTATATACTACAATACTTTCATGTGCGATAGTATATTATCATATACTATAATATAGTATACTACATTATGCTCGAGTATGTAATAATGTGCTATAACATACCAGTGCAATGGAGCATTAGCCACAATGTTCCGGCCTCTTGAAACCGCGGCTCCAATGAGGACAGCCAACTCACTGAAGTAGAGGCTCCGCCAAATGGGTGGTACAAGGCGCGGGGCATCACGCCACGGAAGGTTATAGTCCCCCTGAATTAGCTTGAATAGGGCCTTGGGTATGTTATAATAAGATCCCCATATACCCCATATTCCATCTACTTAAGGGGGACTACAGGGCTAGGGTTCGAGCTGACGGCTGCTGTAGGAGGTCTCGAAATTACGGCCCGAGAGCGATACCATTTCGGAAGCCCATCTTGCGGGCCGAGCCAAGTGGGAACTCTTCAGAGAAGGGTTTGCAGGAGTATATGAGCCATAGTCCAAACTCCTTAAAGGGGGTTTTATAGGGGATTAGATGGGGGCCTAATATAGGGGTTATTAAGGGGGATACTAGGAGTCTAGACAATGGCTCATATGGGGTAGTGCGGGAGCATTATTGACGGCTCCGTGAAAGTGTACGGTCCTCATTCGAATCTCACATTCTAGCAGGACCCCTTGTCTGTAGGCTGTCTCTTTTGGAGGTTATCCCCTCCCCCACTGAAAATCCAAAAGTTGTAGTCGACAGCAACGGTAGAATGTGTAGGCCAGGAGGCAGAGTTCGAATTGGTGCGGGCTCCCAACGAAGAAGCCTGGATTCCGAGACAAATTTACGCGTTTGGGCTGGTGGCTTTGCCTTCCAGCCTACATGAGCCATAGTCAAAACTCCTTAAAAGGGGATTATACAGGGGACCTTTATAGGGGTTATTAAGGGGGATACTAGGAGTTTAGACTATGGCTCACATGTCCTGACTCACCCTCAGTATGGCCTGTTACGTTCCTACGTCCAGCAGACGCCCTGCCTGTTGAAAAACAGCGTACGGTTGCAACAAAGTGGGGTTTCCCAAAATTAGGGGTACCCTTCATCTCAATGATAAGGAATATAGTATTTTGGATCTGTATTGGGCCCGCTCCTATTTCGCTCGAGCCCCATGTGCAGCATGTAAACCTTAATGGCTCACCTAGATCCCAAGACTTGAATCCTGAACCAGAAGGAACTAACCCTAAACCCCAAGGATCGCCTGAGATATGAATGCTTGATGGCTCCACGGTCTCAGTGCAGTTGCTATGAACTCCATCTTCACATATTCCGAACCAGGAGTTTTTTGAAGATATTCTCTGCGTAGTCTTCAAGATTGACCCCGTAGTTCATGCTTCAAGATTGACCCCATGGTTCATTCGTAGTCCCCCATAGTTCATTCAATTCATAGTCCCCATGAATGCCCCTAAACCCTAAACCCTAAACCCGAAACCCTAAACCCTGGGGGGGAACCCCTCTGTTGTGAAGCTCTAAGCCTTGAAATCTCTCCGTGAGCGCTCCTTCAATTTGAGAGGCTCTGAGCTAGACACCTGCATAGGGTTCAGGGTTTAGGGTTTAGGGTTTAGGGTTGAATCCCTGATCTCAAGCACGGACGTGCGCCCTTGGTTCTGCTTTGGGGGCCTGTCCAGTCTTTAGGTAAAAGGACCCTCAGTCAGAGCTCTGTTTACAATGTGTTGGGTGAGATTTTGTCCTGGCAGTGTATAGTTCCCAGAAGCATAATTATAATGAGTCACTGCTCTAAGCCCCAGACCCTCAGCAACCCAGTTCCCAACCCTTCGCAAGGTGGACCGAATTATTTTCTACCTGCCACCGTGGGAAGCCTTCGTCCACCCCAGCTGCGGCCTTTACCAGGATGAGAGTATGGGGATTAGAGCTTACTTGAAGGCCCATGAGTAGCTATAGAAGTTGTAAGTGAGATGCCCAAACTGGGCCACAAGTTATTGTGCCGAATAATAATAATTCCACGTATAGCTACACGTAGGGTAGGGTTTTGGGATTCGGGTTTCAATTTAAGGGTTCGGAGTTCTCTTATGAGGCTTCATACAACAGAGTAGGGTGCAAAAGGGTAGGCGGGTATGGTGTTATAAGCAACGACTAGATTCATCATATGTGGTCTAGGGTAGGACGGTTGGGGCCGCCCCTAAATCCTAAGGCTCACAAAACGCCCAGCTCTTGGAAGTCTTGAAGCCCCTTACCCTACGACTGCGGACATTTCAATCCTTCATGGCTTGATACCGCCAATGAAACGCAAGAGGTGTTCGGCTGTTTGTCATAATGGCATAGCTGTGAGTCATGCTTCTGAGACTGTTCACAGGGGCTGGGGTTTGAAGCCTAAGCTCCAAGCCCTGATTCCTAAACCCTACTGCAGGATTTCTACCTGGTGCAGTGGAGTGCGCCACATGCCATGGAGAGCCACATGTCGTGGAAATGGGTATTCGGGGTGGAATGCGGCGCCAGTGGTTCTGGCAGGGGCCTTCTCACCTGCCGAGCACGTAGGTGTTAATCATCACAGACTCCACTTCTTGTTTTGTTGGGACGGGAGGGTTGCCATGCATTTGCACTGGCTAGTGAGACATGGGGTACGACAGGCACCACAGAAGCAGCTAGTTCGACGATCTTCACTATGCAGGCCGACAACAGAAACCACCATCATCACCGCCGCTGTCGCCGCTGCACACGACCACGAAATAGAGCACGGCCGCGGCCGCGGCCGCAGCCACTGCCGCCCCTCCGTCACCCCAAGCCCCCCACCACCACTGGGTGCCGCCGCCCCCACCCACCACCGACGCGGCCGCCAGATGCTGCTGCTGCTGCTGCTGCTGCTATTTGCTCATTTTGCTGAGTCTGCTGCTGCACTGGCAAAGGCTACGAGGACACACCGAACGGACACAAGAACTACCCGCATGCCACGTGGGAGCCTGATGCACCTCGACCTTAAGCGCAAGGGGTCGATTTTAGGATAGTTACTTGTGACAATTCGGGACGCTTTTACTACGATTTACTCTTACAGGTACTATTATTTCCGATATTACTGTTATTCTTATTCCAAGCCCTAAAATCTACAGCCCCCACAGGCAACACATCGTAAAACCCTAAAGCCTTAAAATCCTTCAACTTAAATTCCAAGCCCTAAACGGGAAAAAACTTTTGAACTTAAACTCTAAACCCGAAACCCCAAACCTTGTTTATGCTGGGGCTAAGGAGTGCCTGCCGGATGACTTGGATGCTACTTGCCCGCCTTTTTGCTCATGTGTCTTAGTAGGGAGTTAGGGAACATAATCCCTACCTATAATCCCTACCTGGTCCTTGTATAGTGCATTCCCATATTCCCTATTAGGAACTGGTAAGTTTAGAGCAAGTTCCTGGCAGTAACAGCAATATCGGAGCTTCCTAGAAGACATGTCTCTTATGAATCCTGAATCGGCACCCCTGGAGCCCTCTTGCACTCCCTATATATCCCTTGGGCTCCTTTGGCTCATGATATTCACATCATCAACGATTTTCAGTAGGATTGTTGCG